TATATAATATAATATGCAATATATAATTTATAATTAATTAATATACGCTATTAAAATGCACACATTTTATACATTATTTAAATATTTTCATATATAATCGTCTCTAGATTTTTATCTAAAAGTTTTATTAATTAATTCAACTACATATATATCTACATATCCATATTTAGATTTTAATTTCTCTTAAAATTTTCCTTTGATCTCAAAATAATTTTGAGAAACATTTGGAAATATTCCAATATGGAAATTCGAATAAGAAACAAAAGATACATTTTAGATTGGTCATAGAGTGTCGTAAAACGTTGACTTTGAAGACTTGATAAACAATTGAAATATCGCATAAACCCCTATAAACTTAAGTATAAACTTCCTGCATAAACTAGGTATTGTTTTCTTTTTATCGCTTTCCGGAAAATTATCGTGTCGTTGATTACCGTAAACGTCTGATATGTTCTCATTGGACGAAGCGCAATAATGCCGTGACCCGATAATAACGCGAAAGGTAAAGCTCGCTCAAGTCTTATTAGATCCTTGGATAACGATAATCACGTCATATCCTGGCGCTCGTTGCGCGATAAAGCGAAGGCTCTTTTGCGTTTCTTGTTTTATAGATCGCGATAAAACTAGCGCTAGCGATAAAATGAGCTTCCTGCAACGTGACGTACGTAATATAAGTTGCTATTCCATTTACATCGAAACTTAGATAATTTATAATTCTTATTTATGACATCAGTTGAATGTACGTTCTTTTTTTTATTCTAACAAGTGAGATTCAATTTTTTACAATCTGCACAAACGAAATATCGAATCTTTCCAATAGACAAAATATGTATAAAACCTGATAGTTTCACCGATACAAGATTAACTTTAATTTCGGTTCAATTTACTTATCTTTATCCTATTTCTATTTTTTAGTATTAGAAAAAAATAAACATTAAACAGAGATTAAAGTTAATCTTACACTGATGGACCTAAAAAAACCTTAGGAACATCATAAAAATATCATCTTTTAGAACATGCATATCTATAAAGATGTCTAAAATAAAACATCGTAAAGGCCGTACTCCAAATTTACTATCAGTGCTAAAACTTAGCGTATGTAAACTATAGATTTTCAATGCTGGTAGTCAATTTGGAACAAAGATATCTTCTAAACATTGCGTATTAACTAACGTTAAAAAAAGGTAAGATTATAAACCTGTATTATTATCCGATAATTTAAGGGTTGTGTTCCCAAATTTACTGCCAATACTAAAAATCTATAGTTTATGCCACGTGCACTATAGATTTTCAGTACTGGTAGTAAATTTTGGAACGCCTTAGTCACCAAACACTAACATCATTATCTGAATATAAAATATTTTCACATAACTTTAGATTCAGACTGTGTTCTTAAACTTTTGCCAGTACTGAAAATTTATAGTGCAACGTAAACTAAAGTAGATTTTCAGCGTTGGCAGTAAATTTGGAATACAGTCTCAATATCACTTATTATATGGAAATGGAAAACAACTGTAATAATGAGAAACCGCCCGCGAGACTGATTGAAAATTGAAACAAACCGCGGCAAAATATCGATGTCGGACATGACATCAAATCGAAATCTCGATGAATGTCACGTGACGTCAGGCAGTCGAACAGTGAAGTAAGTACGTCATTGTGACTCTGTGAATTGTACATAACCTCATCGTATCACGGTGTCGGCCACAATTCCGCCACAATTTCTATCGACTCGTCCTTGCCTAATAAGGCAAAAAAAAAAGAAAACAAAGCGAAAGGACTGTCGATTTCTCAACGCACATTCACAATTCCAGCTTCTCCCGTCCTTGACGTCTCGAAAAGGTGAAGCGTCTGTTCGCAAATAATGTCTGACCCGCGTATAAGAACGCTCAAGATTAAGACAGGAGTAGTGAAGCGTCTTGCGAAAGAAAAGGTCACATACGAAAAGGAGGCGGCGCAGCAGCGCGAGAGGATACAAAAGTTGAAAGAGCAAGGTGAGGATCATTTTTAGCTATAAGGGAAGAAAGGATGCAATTCCTTATCACGTGACGTCGAAACTTGTTTTATAGCCACGTAATATATTCGGAAATATTTGCTGCATAGATTCGTCTGATACATGATATTCAATTTCTAGTGTTAAATATCTTTATTAAAGCGCTTATAAATGTTTTTAGTGATACAAATGTTTCATAGGATCATAACTTTTAATATTTAAATAAATTGTATTTGCGAGATGCTTTTTTTTCTCTTTAATTTTAAAGTCTTTGAAGTGATATCATTGATAAAATTAATATTAAATTAATATTAAACAATTTCGTTAATAGTATACATGTTTTGTAGATAAAGATGGTTATGACATAAAGAAGCAAGAGGAGGTGCTTCAAGAATCCCTTATGATGGTACCAGACTGTCAGAGGCGTCTCGTTAAAGCATTTGAAGAACTCAAGAAGATCCTGGAAACTGAGCAAGATTTAAAAGAAGTCGAAGATTACATTGAGGCTGAAAAAGTATTACAGGAAGCAGAAGAACAATTGCCAAAAGAAGGGGATATTTTGCAGATGTGTTAAAAAAAAAGTGCTCTTTAATGACTTTCGCTGAATTATTTTCAAATATTTTCCAACATTTTTATTTCTTTCCTTTACTAATCTTTTAAGATTGATTAATTTTACACTTAAAACTTATAGCCTAACTATTATAGTTTAAGTTTTTTTTATCATTATTCTCACTTGAATGCACATACATTAAAATAAACATGTACAGTGGTCAATCTTTCCAACAAGGTACTGGACAAACTTATCAAAATATGCATTTTAACACGTACTATCCAATAAATCAACAACCATTTCCATACAATATAAATTACGATGGGAATATATGTTATAATGTTTATTCAAGCCATGTAACATGTGATAATAGTACTGTTAATAATGCGACGTTAATCGATAGAATAAGAACAAGACAAGAAGATGAAAAGATCATTGAACAGTTCCTCAAAGAAACAGGTTCAGTTCCTGACAAATGCAAACAGAAAGATCCGTTTAAGATTGCGGACACTAAGAGTGCATTGATATCCGTGGTTAAATTGAATAAACAACTTGAGGCTGTTTGCGCGGAACTTAAGAACAATTTTAATTTACCGGAAGAGAAATGGCAGGAGAAAGTCAGTGCCTGTAATGCTGCAAAACATGAAATCTGCGAAATCTTAAAAACTATAAAAGATGCAAACTTTTTAAATAAAGTTAAGAACAATTTAGAGAAACGTAAGAAGAAACGTATAAGAGAACGATTGAGAAGAGAAGAATGGAAAAAGGAGAAGTTACTGAAAGAAGAAAGAAGAACAAGGTTACATGCAGAAGCTGATGCGTGGATCCGAAAAGAGCAGGCGGTAATTAAGCGAGAGAAACAAGAGGAAAACTTGCGCAAAGATGCGGATATGGTTTTATCCGATGTTCGAAGCAAGAGAAACGATGCACGAAAGTATCTAGGGATTTTACAAGAACTGCAGAACTTAAGAGAGATCAAGGCGAATATTGCTCGAGCGAGGGGCGAAAAATTGTCCTTAGCAGCCGAGAAAGCCTTCAATAATACCATCGGTAGTGTATTTTATTTTGCTACATATTATTTTTAATAATAAAAATAATAAACTTCTTAAAATGCGAAATAAAAATAGACATCAATAAGTACAATTAATGTAATAATAAGGAATTCTAATAAAATAAATATAAAACGATTAATAATAGAGTATTAATAATAGAGTTTAATACAGGGTAGGATTTTTTGTGTTTCTTTTCTTAACAAATATAATATAAATTATAATTTTTATATTTTTAATTATAAATATATATTATAGCTAAATTAATAGAACAGTGGACTACTTTGGATCGCGAATATGCAATAGAAGAACAGGAATTGAAATTAATGCTAAAAACGGATAACGAAAAAAGGATCGAAAAACAAACGAAAAATTTATTCGATGATTGGGAAAATGTGCTATTTGGAACAAGTATATTGGCTGCTGAACAATCCTATAAAAATATGGATAGTTTTGTCATGATTCGGTATGTATTTAATATCGAGATGTAATTAATTTCAAATGATATCATTTTTTTTCAGTCGAAAAAATGTTTCCTTTTTTGCATTTCAGTAAAGCCTGGGATAAGTTCATCAGTTCAGAAAATGATACAACAACGATTCCAATTGGGTGGATAGTGCCTGAAAGACCATCTTCTGCTGCTTGGCAAAAATGTCTCAATAAGGAGACTTCTTGAAATAAGCGAATGACTTTTGTCAATTTAAGTTTATTTAAAAAATAAAAAAAAATTTGCTAGAATATTTTCAATTAAGCTTGTGACTTGTATACACCACAAACTTTTTCACTATAAATTAATTTTTGCAAAATTTTAAATTTGTTACTCTTCACTTATTCATTAAGAGGAAAATATTTAAATTGTTGCTTGTTCATTTATATTTCGAGAAATTTAATGCTAATGTAAAATTATGTACAAAAAAACTATTTTACAAAAATTATTTTACAATTGAATATTTTATAAATTATTTTAAGCTATATTCAAAATAATATCACGTTCTGTTTGAGCGGCATTTGATGGTTCCAAGCTTTGAATTTCTTTTATAGTAGGTAAAGAAGATGTTTCAGCACCAGACAATATCATTTGCATTGAACCTTGCAATTGAGTTAAAGCTAAAATTAATTGTTCTTCCTCTTGCAATTTTTGCGACAGTATAGCAAACGTTTTTCGTGTTTCCTCCGATAGTTCGTCCAAATGATCTTCGTAAACGTCTATCAAAAAAAGAATAAATTTTATTAATAAGAAAATGTGAAAAGAAATCTAAAGGAAAATATTTAACACTTACCTAATAATACGTTCGCTACGTGCGACAATACTCTTCCAAAACGTATATTGCCGATATACTTGTTCAAGAATTTAATAATATTAACTAGCGACTTGCCGTCTCTACCAGCCAATGCTCGCCTTAAACCTTCGCGCCTAATAAGTTCCTGTGTAAGCGCTACAGTGACATGTGGCGTTTTATTAACCACATAATTCATCATGACACAATCGAGCGCTTTACTATATTGAAATTTTCGTAAGCAGGCATCATGCTTGCTCATTACTTCTTTCACTTCTTGGTGCACGACTACGTCAATACTTCGCACGTGCAGATTTTCTCCTGCATGCCTATACGACACCTTCTTCCGTTTCGATTTTATTACATCTTTCACATCTTCCTCACGTCTTCTAACAGAAATCATACCGTCTACCATACCAGCTACGACGGTTTCATCGTCTACCTGCAATTTGATATTAACTGTATCAATTTTTATAAATAATTCAATTTTATAATATTAAATAGATCAAATTTATTAACCCGAGAGTA